ACAAGATATATTATACCTTAATTTTTCCGTCTATGCTACCTGAAACTATCATCTCAGAGTCTCTTGAGAATGAAAGTGCAGTCACGCCCTCATCCATCATCATCAGGTTGTCTTGAGCCTATAAATTTCACTCCTTTCAGGTTTGCTTAGATATAAATCGTAATCATTTGCGTACCTGATATTTGAGATCTTTACGCAACTTGCCATTCATGAAGTTCCACACTTCTATGAAACCATCTTTTGATCCAGAAACAAGAAACTGACCATCAGGTGAGAAGACCGTAGAAAGTGGATAGCTTGCTATAAACGTTAAGCTTGATTGAGGATCCAGAAGAATTTTTATCTAAGAAATCATACTTGCACCAAATTTGATGTGTCTTGCCAGCTGCGTCGGATAGCGCTCATCTTCTTGTTCTCTCATGGCTGCCTTTCCACGGAAAAGATCAATCTGCGTTCCTGAGATAAGATTCTATTATGCACTGTTTCGAAATAAACCACAAATTCATACCTGGAGGTAGTAGACCTTGATGAAGCTGCCATTTGAGAGACTGTTGCAGCAGCGCTAGAAGACGTGATGGTGGTACCACATTTACTTCGCTAGCCAACGACTGGAATAAAATATTAGTCAAAGAGCAAAAATTGCAACTAATCCTTCACCAACAAGCAGACTAACAAGAGACGACCATATGTACGAAATAATTACCATCGTTTGGGACAGAATAGATAAAATACAAAATACAAACTCACATTGGCGATTGCCTGCCGACGTTTTTCCTTGCTCATGTCACCAAACACTTCGCCAGGATCGAAGTACGGCCGATTTATCAAGTTATCCAACCTCGCATATCTGAAAGAGACCTTACACTCAACCAGACACCCACATAAACCAACTTTTTTCAACCAAAAAAAATATATAGGCGAGGAAGACAAAGGCAGACCTTTCTGGATCCATCTGTTTGAGAAGATGCATTGGATCTGTTTGCCTAGCAATGAGACGAGCGGTTGCTAACTCACGAAGCTCGACCAATTCAATAACCATCTGAAACGAGTGATATATGCGTGCAGTGGACTTGGACAGCATTCATAACCCAATAATATTTTGCAGGGAAACACTTGCTTATGAAAACTGACTATCCAAAAATGGCGCAGTGAAGCTTATTGCCTAGTTGCTGACTATTAAAAAATAAGCACACATTCGCGCCTATGCAAAAGCAACGGCAAAAAAGATAGTCACTGGAGTCGGAAAGTAGAAAATTATGATGGAAACCGCGTTTTCGCATCTCATACAATACTTCATGAAACATTAATGAGTACTCACCAACTCGTACAAATCTATGAGCTTCTTGGCAGGTAGTTTGAGCGGCTGTATTATCTTCAGTACCGTATCCCAGTGTCCATTTGTGATCTCATGCGAAAAGGAGTCGATACTGTCTACAGTGTTCAGAGTGATATTCGTCTCTTCCTCAAAAGGTCTCACTGTATGAGGTAAGTTATTTGATTCAAAGTTTATTCTTACTTGTAAGACAGCAAGCGTTCTCATCAGATTGTTTTCCTTCAGATATTGCTCGATGAGACGAACAACACTAAAGAGAAAAATTCATTTTTGGACCATTAGAAGAGGACGAACTGACTATATAAATGCCAGAATTTGCAAAACTTTTTCGAACTAGTCCCTTCTGCACTTTTTCAAAAATAAAGACGACAAATGGAATTAAAAAATACATGATACTTTT